CTTGTCGCGGGTTCGATTCCCGCACGGAATAACTCTTTGTGTGACCCACAAATTGTTGTTCCGAGTTTGGGTGTCATGTGCATGTGAAATTGTATGTTTGTAACCGCACCCACGACACATGAGAAAATGTAAGTGAGGGGCAATGTCTTTTAAAGAAAAAATAGTCCTAGTGTAGCTAGCATAAGCTGTAACTGGAATAACGAGCAAAGCTGCTTACGGAAACGAGTTTGCCATAACTAATTTTCCCGGATCAGGGATTTATCCTGAATATTTCTGACATATTGTCAGCAATACGTCTTTCACATCAATCAAGAAACATCCTCCTTTTAGTCACGCCATCAAAAGTTTATACAAATTTTATGGCCAATTTATGACTAAGTTTTCGGGCCATTTACAGAACTACCACTAAAACTTTTGAAGTTATCGTAAAATTATTCGTAAAATCGTAATAATATCTGTCGTAAAATTTATGTAAATTACGATTTAAAGGTAAGTAGAATGTATAGATTACTGCTTGCTTCTGCCAGCAGCTTCATCTGTTAACCAGGATGATATGGGTCTTCGAGGATGGGGGAATCATCCAATGTTTGGGGTAAGAAGAAAATGCTGACTCTTACTGACAGCCTTTATCAAGCGTAGTGATATACTATGGGTCCGAGGTGGAGCGAGCACTTACACTGACACTCTCGGCCCACCCAAAGCAAAGTGTTTTGATAAATTTCTTGGCTCGAAAGGAAAAAAAGCAAACAAGAAGCTGACGAATTCAAAAGTTTCTGGCTATTGTTAGTCAAAAATACAATATTGGATCGACATCGTTATAAATATTAATCTAAATCTTCGAAACTCCCCTGGAGTTACACGTGTCCATGGGCGGCGCCAATTGCTTACCATCAGGTAATCCGTGCTCATTTGACATCCTAATATACATATAAAATAAACATGGGATTGCACATATTATGTATGTCACCTTTATTTACGCTTACTTCTGCCTACCATAAGTCATAAGATAAACTATAAAAGAAAACATCATCATATAATCTTTAATGAGCAGAAATGTGACGTAGGTATGCCAAAGACTAGGTAATTAAAATTGTTACGTTGTAATCATTAAGTCTGGAATGTAACGAGGCTAGCTCGTCCTGGTTACCACGGCGTTGATGAAAACTGGCGTAAAATAACTCATTCGTTGCCATGTAAATAAGGTTACCGGAGGCTAAATCCTGCACCCCTCCTATCTTAAAATCCCCTATCTCTTAATTGCATTTGCATTTTGGCAATCTGCTCCATAAAAACCATCGTCTTCTAAGTCGTTCTTCTATCGGAGAACGAGAGAAGACTATCATACGTCAGAGTGTTTCTTTTAAATCATTAAAATCAGTTTCTTGTTATAATCAGCTTATAAAATGTCCACTGCTGAGCAAAGGTAATTTCTGACATGGAAAATGTGTCATAGGTCAATCTATTATTTTGATTTATTTGATAAATAATCTCTTTTCTGTCCACTTATCGACGCAGGCCTCTTTAATTTGCTGTTTGACCTTTAATGTTCAGCTCTTCTCCTTACATAAATCGTCAGTCTACCTAGCTGGGACACCACCTTATCTTTCTTTATAAAAAATCTACATACGAATAGCGCTTCATCAAGAAGATATACAACAAGTTTTCTTTGTTGAAGAAAAATTTAACCATCACATTTCATACCTCGAAAGAATCGACTTGATAATGAAAATATACACGTTTGCTTTGAAAGCTGTCTGTGGTATAAACAGGGTAAGGTAAACAAGTATTATACATATAGGTCACATAGGTTTATGCTCTGTGTTATAGACGGGAACAAGGTCGTCGACCTTCTTAATCATGTCGTGAAGTAATTGTAATTAATGAAGACTACGTTTAGGTTAGTTGTGATTGTCTTCTGAAACGACGAATATCTTTGAAAATTATTGCTGGGATTGATTGACACACGATAATGAATTGAAACGCTGCTCATAAATAAAATTCCCGTTACGATTTGAAACTAGCCGAGTTTTTCTCATTTCATTTACGCGTGTAAATCGTTATCTAAGGTAAAATTTGTAATTTGTTAGTTTGCATGTAAGAAGTAATCTCCAGAACTGCTGGGTTTGAATAGAACAATTCTTTTTGTGGTTGTTAGTCCATTTATCGAGGAAGGCGAATAGGCTATAAAACTTCAAGATACGATCTGTAACAGATGAGTAGCAGGTAAAACCAAGTGAGAGGTTCTAGTTTTTAATAAATATTGTATTCAATGCCATTTACGCAATGATATACCATGGCCCAGCTTGGAGCAGGAGAAAGAAGTAAGTGTGGGAGAGCCAAGCTTCGGCACGAATGGGTCGGCTCGACCGGAGTGATACCACTGACTCACAGAATACCGCCCGTGAAACAACCCACAGCGTTGTGTTTCGCCGTGTGAGTCAGGTTACCGGCGGCCCCATCCCTTCCCCTCCCCTATCCCTTCCCGATCCTTACATCCCCAACCCCTATCCCCAAAAGGCCGGCAACGCACTCGTAACTCCTTTGATGCTGCGGGTGTCCATGGGCGGCGCCGATTGCTTACCATCAGGTAATCCGTCTGCTCGTTTGCCGACTTATACAATAAAAAAAAGAACTAGTCACTAAGGAGTCTGACACTCTCACTCAAAGTCATTGGATGATTTTGCAACGTTATAAACCCTGTCCTTAGCAATTTTGGGACCAAATTTCGCACTAAGGAATAGTTTAATTCATCATCATCATCAGCCTATAAGTGCCCACTGCTGAGCAAAGGTCTCTTCTCACATGGAGAAGGTTTGAGCATTGATCACCACGCTTGCTCAATGCGATTTCAAACTTATAATTAGAAATTATAAGTCCAGGTTTCCTCACGATGTTTACCTTCACCGCATGTCAGTGGTGTCTAAATAATCATAGAAAGTGCATATAACTAGGAAAAAGTCACATTGGTACTTGCCCGGTTTCGAACCCATACCCTCGTGCATGAGAAGCGGGCGCTTAACCTCGGGGCCACCACGACCGATAGTTTAATTAATCATTACATATTTATCTGAGTACGGCTGTTTCACTATTCAGCTGTTAAACTATAAATCCTTAAATTGATCTTGAATGATTTTTCTACGTAAAGAAGATTTGCTTTAGGCTCCACGTTTAAAAGGCCGGCAAGAGAGAGCACATTAAAATGATCAGGTTGCCGACCTTTTGGGGATTAGAATTTTGGAAGTTTAGGATAGGACCACGCTTTGATTATTTCACGCCGGTTTTTTGTGAGGCCGTGGTATCACTAGGGCCTTTTCACACTTACACTAAATTGTATTTTTTTGCAGATTACGTTTTGTTTCTCGCTATAGGAAGAATGATAAAGTCCGAGTACACGTATAAACGGTGGAATTGACAAACCTCCTTCTTAGGAAGTCGGTTAAAATGGCGCAGGGTCTCAGTAGCTAGCTCAGCATAAACAAAAATAACTTTAAAAACGTAAATGAAACAGGGGAATAGCTTCACTAATTCTAGAGTGACGCACGAGGAGAAACATTCGATTCCCGTTCCACCATGTTTACAAATGTAATTCAAACACCACATACTATACAGTATAAGTAGGTACTTTTAACATGCTATAGAATAAAAACGTTTCGTTGAGAATCTGTTTAACTGTTTTAAAGAAATAACACAAGATTTGGAAGATACTTTTTATGATATCGGACGGCAATTAATCAGATTACCTGATGGTAAGCAATCAATGCCGCCCTTGGACACTCATGCAACGCACTTGTAGCTCCTCTGGTGTTGCGGCTATCCATTGGCACAGCCGACTGCTGACTATCAGGTTATCCGTTGCCGTTTTGCCAACCTCACATAAAAAAGGTTAATTACCTCTTTTCACTCAACTTTTTTACGATTCGGCCAAACTGGCATATAATCTTAAACAAATTCCTATAAATCGAATATTGATCTTGTTTATTCTTGGTTCTTACATTTAATTCAATCGATACTGATTTAAAGGTTTGACTGCACGGTTAACGCTATGGCTGGGGCGGTCGTGCAAAATTTCGCGTTTCGATTCCTAAACCGAACAACTCTTTGTGTGACCCACAAATTGTTGTTCTGAGTCTGGGTGTATGTTAAATTGTGTGTATGTAAACGCACCCATGACACAGGAAATAATCCTAATGTAGGGCAAAACATTAGAACCGACACGCACAGGGTGATTGTACAAAAGCTAACAAAAGATCTATAGTGGAAAATTGTTCAAAAGACATTGAACTTAAGAATATTACGAAGCAACTGGACGACGACGTAATAAAATCCCATAATACAAGCACTTAGAACTTTAGTTACCCATAAAGAGAACGTAACGATTCCTACTTCCAATAATTAATTTCCATTCAAGAACTATTTAACCGCAATTATTAATTACATTGGGTGGATATTAGAGTGGGTTATATCTTTTTATGATTTTGTCTGACTGCTTATTTGCCTGATTAAGGCTGATTTTTAGAAAGATAAATGTTATATGAGGAATAAAATTGTCGCTGTCACTGTCTTTATACAAACATTTAGACGGGACAGCATCATAATTATTCCGCAGATGACTTTTATCTAACCATAGAAAAATTAGCCCTTAGACATTTTCTTGGACTGGCCCTTATTCTATCCGTTAGTTATAAAAATTACGAAAATAAATACATTTATTTACAAAGTTGAATATGCAATTGTATCCAAAACAGAATTTTAGTAAAGTGATTTCTTTTTTAATATTGAAATTAAACGAATGTATTTTATATTTATATTCTGTAAAAAGTACCTAGATATTAAGATATTATATATATTTTAATTTTAATATGTTAAATAAAAACGGGATGAAACATTTTGGAACGACCATTACCAGAATCATCGTCATATAATACTGTGTATGTTTTTTTTTTTTAATAATTAAACGACTCTGTAACGCCAAAAACAAGAAAAAAAATAAGAAAACATACCTGAATCTTAAAAAGTCTCCTCGGAGAACAGCCGCAGACAATCCAAGGAAGCGAATTAAAAAAAAAACACACTTTTATAACAACAATAAAACACCACAGATAACCGCTAAACAAACGACAATAAAAAACAAGGAATGGAACTCAGAGACATCGTTTTTAAAGACCGAGTGGCAACCGATTGGAATAAACTTTCGAAACCACGACCGCAACGTTACTGAACCAACTCGGAACGTGAACACCAGAATACGTTGGATTTTCACTCATAAAAATAACTCAAAGTATCTAAACGTTGATGAAAAACATAGTTTTTTCCGTGTAAAGCTAATCAACGTTGAAATACGTTAAGAACTATCAATCGACACATTCCCTTCATTCCCATCTCACGCAGCATTTTTTCCGTGTCTTAAATTTAATAATAGCTCTGTTTATCTATGAATTAGGACAGATTTATCTATCACTGAACACTTTTTAATTACGTATGTTATTTACGCGGGCTTTCGCGGCCATTTTATTTTAGATCTGTCATCGCGACTTGACAAATGCGCGCGAAAATCACTGTCACTTTTTTTCTTTTAAGATTTTTTTTTATTTCGTGTGTAGTCGAGATTTTTGTACGCGTTTATCGTACGATATCTTTGACATCGCGAGTAAGACTGGCTAAAATTAACGTGTGTCGGTGCATCGTGCTCGGCCGTCGGCGGCGCCGATCGGCGATGCGCCGGATCGATCGATGTATCGAAAGATCGATATTGTACAGATGTTTTCTTAGGGTTCCGTATACAATAAGTTTTGGTGACGTTAATTGTGTATATTTAAGAGTAATTTCGTGTAGGATAGGAATTTTGTTTTACTTAGCGATTTGAATTTAGGTTGAAACTAAGATGAGTTAGCTATTCCTTTAAGTGTTTTATATAAATTTATTTTCATATACAAATATTTCATAACGAGTACAATATGTAGTAAAAATAAATATGTAGCAATGCACGCATTACGCATGCACAAGCAAGTTATTGTGGGAGAGCCATGCTTAGGCACGAATGGGCTCTCTAGATCGGACTGATATCACGGCCTCACAGAAAACCGGCGTGCAACAACCACAGCGTTGCGTTTCGCCGTATGAGTGAGGTTACCGGAGGGCCAATCCTTCCCTCCTACAATGCCTTCTTAATCCAAAAATATCCAAATCCCCAGTCCTCAAAAGGTTGGCAACGCACTTGTGGTAACTCCTTTGGTATCACGAGTGTCGATGGGTGGCGCTGATAGCTTACCACCAGGTAATACGGTTACGGGTTTGCCGTCATATAAAATAAAAAATACACAAATAATTTTGAATTAAATTCATTATTGTCAATAGAATAGAATAGATTTACTTATTAATTTCCTCAATGTTTTATTAGCTCTGACTACCTATATACTAGTATTGTAGATTATACACCAGTCTACCTGAGTACAAATAGGTAAATTCGTGAGCTGTCACTATTATTGATGACTTCTGTGATCTTATGGAATGACAAATGATTCCACTCTGTACTGGCAAATTACCGGGTAATTTTGACACTAAAGTGAGTAGGTAGATATTTTTAGACTATGTTTACCAATGATGTATAAATCTATAGATACGTTGTCCGCGCTCTAAAATGGCAACATGAAATGAAGGCAATTTGACAACATCGCGCTTAGTCACGCACCAACCTCCCGCGCGACGCTACGTTTGTTTTTAATTTATATCGTGTGTAAACCTGTGCGAAACATAAAGAAAGCATGTCGTCGTGTGTGTTCAGACGATGTACAAATTATACTCCAAAAGTTAAAGACAAAAATGTGTCATTTCATGCGTAAGTTCACCAAACAACCTATTTTTATTTTATTTTTTTCGACGCCGGCGCCCGCCATCTTATGGCGGCCGGCGCATGAAGGTATAGTCACGTGACGTCGGCTTAACTGAAGACGTATATTTATCTCCCTCTAGCAAAGGCATTCCACTATACGATGTCATATTTGCTTTCCCTTTCTTTAGTCGTAGAAGTAGTTATCTTGTATTTTCGCCGTTTTTAAGCGCCGCGATGTTGGTTCATGACGTGTCTATATATAATACGTCATTGATGTTTACAAATAAGAAAACAAAGAAAAAGGGACTCCGTACTCCGAATAGTATAAATATCTTTCAAAACTAATCATACTTGCTAAATCTTACAGAAATAATACAAAAACAATTAATCGTAATAATATTAAAAGGGAGATTTCGAAATACAGACTTTGTTATATGTAACGCATTTTTTTTGCTGAAAAAATATCACACTAAAAATCATTCACCTATTTTCGGCATTGCTATGAAAAGAACCTTTCTTTATAATAATTACTGAACAGACAAACAAACAGACAGACAAAATTATTTTAGATAAGACGAACTTACCATACGGAATCTAAATGCAACTCGACACAGACCACAGACTAAAATACAATTACACCAATTAACCGTTACAGGATTTTAAATTTAAACTTGGAACGCGGAACTCTACGAGTTTTCTTTTGATGAATGACAGCCAACAACGATATTGCACTCATTAGTTAGTGTATTTGAATTATAATTGTATAGTGAGTTATATTTATTTATTCATCTCTATGGTATTTTAATAGGTCACAGTAACAAGATTTCATTGCGCATGAACGTTGAAATGTTTGTGGGTAGTAGTGACGCGTGATTTGTTTTTCAATTCGAAATTTGAATTCGATTTTAAAAATTAAAAAAAGAAGAACACACACAGTTCAATTGAGAACCTTCCTTTTTGGATTTGTCTGTTAAAAATGATTCAAATTTTTAACTCATTTTCTGAGACCAAAAACAATATGATTGTGTTCTAAGTAGGAACTTACACAAGCTACAGTGACCGTTTACTATAGCTGGCTTAAGAGTTTCTTTATTTTTGGCAATAAAAGTCTTTTCTCGCCCTGGATATGGCGAGTGTAGTATAACTCTTACTGACTAAAATACCACTCCTTCCTTCTCCTGTTTCGGGTCGGGGCTGCGGTACATATTTGCGCTTGCATCTGCAAACGCTTTTTAGATGGCATTCATGAAAAACCATAACATATCATGGTGAAAATGTTATATTATATTGTAAAATAATAAGGTACACTACGAATAAAGTACAATCAGCATTCCACGTAACGCAATAAAACAAAGTCGAAATATTAATTAATATGATAATTGCGTTACGAAACTTCCCTTGGTTGACAACGTCAACGTCGGGCGCCATGACAGATTGTCATTATAATTCTGTCTGTTGGAGTTCCGATTTCAATTTTGACGTTTACGTCAGAGAAAATTCGAGGTTATTCACCTTGTTTGTGATTCAGCTTGCTATAAGTAAAGTGGATATGATTTTCTGCGAGTTCATTGACATGTTGTGAATGCAATTTTAACCTATGATTGTCTAGGGGTAATTTATTTAATATGCAAGGGTAAGCTCTTTACTAGACTTAAGGTACTGTTATTTTTAATGTTTCTTCTTTTACAGTTTTCTTTTATGCTTTTCATCATTACATAGTAATATCAAAGTCGCTTTTTCTAACCCTATATCCTTATGTAGGCTTAAATCAAATTTCTCAACGGATTTTATTGCGATTGTTTTAATAGATGTAGTGTTCGAAGAAAAAGGTTTCGAAGTATAATAATGTCCATTAACTAGTAGTGAAAATTAGTATCAAGATTGCACTCGTACGAGGGGTCGATAGTAAAATACAAAGATATTACGGCTTCAAATATAAACTGCTAAAGAAACTTGATCTTTGGTTGGACCTGTCACCACGGGAAGTGATTCTGAGACTTGAGCTAACTTGCCTAGCCAAAAGTATCACGTATTGTGCCAAAGAATGTCTTTCAAAGTCAAAGTCTTTCTTTGTGTGTCATTAAATTTAAAAAGGGTAGAAGGGAAAAAATAATTTACTTTGCCTATCCAAGAGTAATATAAGAGTCGTGACGTGTACAATATTGAGGGTGACATGGTCCCGAGGTCAATTACAAAACTAACCCCAAAAACAAATAATTGGCAATCAAATTATTTGCTTTAAGGGACCCTTGATATATATCGTTCTCAAAATATCCAATTTCAATGAAATCGACAAAGTTATAGATACTGGTCGAAACGATCCCTTACAATACAATTCTTAATTGACATTTGTTTGCGCGGGAAATCGTTCAGCTGTCATTGTATTGTTCTTCGCGCCGTCAAAACTGTCATTGTATCGTTCTTATTTCGAATTATTTTGTAAATTTAGTTTTTTTTTTTGTTTTGTTAAGACAATGCCGGTTTTGCGTTTTATGATTACTTTGAAAAATATTTGTTGGAGCAACTTTTAAATCGTTGTTTTGAATAATACCTAAGCTAATTTTAAAGAATAATCTATGGTTGGCGATATTTCCGAACTGATATGACCTTCAAACCTTCAAGAAATGTTCGTACTCCTTGCAAAATGCCGGCAACGCGCCACCGACTCCTCTGGCGTTGCAGGTGTCCATGGGCATCATTTACGATCAGATGATCAGTCGGCTCAGTTGTATAGTAAGTAGTCTGTTCTAATTCCGAATTTGTAACATGTGCCAATAATCACGGTTCCGTTCAAGTCTGCCTTATCAATTGATGCCGCCATTAGGTCGATTACGAAGAATCATCTATCGGGATTTTCCAACTCATTTTTCTATTGTAAGGCTGTCAGGTGTTTAATCTTGAACGCTGCATTTTAGTAGATTTGTTTTTGTGCACAGCTAGAAGGGTGTAACTAATCAATTAAATAAAACGAGGTACAACTTAAGTATGGGAGAGCCATGCATCGGCACGAATGGGTCGACCGGAGTAATACAATTGCCTCACAGAAAACCGGCCTGAAACAACCACAGCGTTGTGTTTCGCCATGTGACTGAGGTTACCGGAGGCCCAATCCTTCCCCTTCCCCAATCCCTAAATCTCCAAATCCCTAATCCCTAAAAGGTCGGCAACGCACTCGTAACTCCTATGTTGCGGGTGTCCATAGGCGGTGCTGATTGCTTACCATCAGGTAATCCGTCTGCTCGTTTGCCGACTTATTACATAAAAAAAAAACAACTAATGATATTATAAGTAAAATGGTATAGATAGGTTACATAAAGAACATTCGATTTTCAAAAACGGCACACATGAATGAATAAAGTAAAAAATACACGTTAAAGTGGGATGGCATGATTCAATAATCGCGAGTGAAAAAGAGACAAATATGAAAAAGTGTATCACTTGCTGAGCGCTTGTAACATATCTACACCTTTTTACTTTTTTTTATAATATCATTCATTCATTGGGTACAAGAATTTTTTTTTCGCCATCGTCACGCTTGCCAAGTACATGAAAAATAATACAACTTATAATGTTGTTATAATGTAGAATAGGTAATATAATACATTATTTACTAACTAATCATCGTCGCAGTCTATTCTGGTTTCATTCATAAAAATAAGTATCTAAGCCTTGTGATTATGGAGTGTTGCCAGAACACATAAATATTTATTTATTTTTATTAGTAGTCTCAGTATTTTTCCGAATTTTGGATAAGTGTTGTTTGTTTGTCCGACTTTATGTATAAATCTGTTTTAAGATTTTGCGAGTACATAAGTACTAAAAGTACATACTTATACGTTTTGGTATAATGAGGAAAATAATATGGTATTTGTTTTATGGGA